CGTTCAGAAAGTACAATGTTGGTCGTATGATGCTACAAATTCCAAATTTCTGGTTAGATTAAAAAGTTACGTTACTAAAATAGAGATTACGTTAAAAAGTACAATGTTCATCGTTTACTGTTCCAACTTTCAAATTTCTAAAATGTTTTCGTGAATAATATTTGTACAACGAAGAGGTATCTACTTTTTCAACAGATCGTTTGCATAAAACGCAAAGAACAACTGTATTTATCGATCGAGCCGGTGCACACGTCGGCTCGGATTGAATCTGCTTTTCTGAATCCCCGCAAGTTCCAGGTTTTTGACCTTTCGCCACTGCACGCCGAGTCATCCTCAATAAATAGAAAAGCACGCCCGGTGCCAAGGAATTTCAGATCGGCGTGTAGAAATAATCGGATCCGTTAGAAAAACACACGGCTGCACGTGAACCTTGAGACGTTTCTCTATGATCGACACGGATTGTTAAATACATCGTTGCTCTGGAGATGTTCCAGTTCCATTTGGACCAGGGACAGAAGGTACCTGAAACTCGTTGTCCCAACCAATATCTTCAGGATTCTCACAGGGAAACAGAAATATTTTAAAAAATTCATGTCTAGACTTTGATATTTCTTTGGTAGTTCAAGTTCAGTTAGTCAAAGTTTTATTATCATTCAATAATTGCATTGAACTAAGTAGTTTGTATATTAAAAAAATTCTGTGTAAAAAGATTTAAACCTGCCATATTTCATATCTGTTCAATCATTCTGAATGTGTCTCTATTCTCCTAATCAAAATTCCACCACATGGATCACCGGTGACCCAAATGACAAAGAACACGTCAAACATCATTTCCTCTCTAAAACAAAGCCCTTGATTCCCATTATAAGACACATACAGAGCTAATAGAACTGGGTAAATAGCAGGATCAGTTAACTGGAAAGGATTTCACGTAAAGTATAACGACATCGTGTTCCTGAAGGATGAAAAGGTAACTGGATAGTTGTACGAAGGCCGAAAAAAAAAAAAAACATTGATTAAGGCTGCGTGGAGGCTTTGGTACATAGAACAGAGGCAACTAGTCCACCGCTGTACACGAAACTACGTCACGTCCGCATTTACGCTAATCTGCCGTCGGCCGACTTGGTATACATACCTCCGTTATTTACTTGAAACGACGCGTTAGAACATATCGTTTACCACTCAAGAGGAGACGGAAATGTATTTTGAAGAAAAAATCACTTTTGGAGAAAAAAAAATGTTATTCTCCGTAACGTGATCTATAAAATGGCATAAAGTTAATTAAAATCAGATGAACAGAAATTTTTTTATAATATTGTTTGTACATGACTATGTAACCAGGAATTATGAATATATTTTTTTTTCTTCCAAATTGTTGCATATTTTCCAATTTTTTTTTACAAATGATTTCATTTATTTTCAATAGGAAAATTACAATGCCTCGTTCGAAGAATATTTTTAAAAGTAGAAAAAATGAATGGAGAAAAAAATTATTGTAATTTTCTGAAAGTTAACATTCTCAAATTTTATACACCTTTTCCTCGAAAACCGTAAGGGATACTGAAACCAAATTTAAACCATACGTTCCACGTGAGTAGATATACGAAGTGGTATACGAGTTTTGCTGTATCTTGTTCCGTTCATTAACAGCAACACCTTTTTATTGAAGAATGAAAGGAAAAATTTAAGTATTCTTTGCAAAATGATATCTTTGGTTTTAAGCAATATTTTTAAATTCTAACACAAAAATATACACATAAGAAAGTTAAAAAAATGTGTAATTAAAATTTGATTTCTATGTCTTACAGTTTTGGAGAAAAACGTACATAAAGTTGGCAAATTTAAGATTGATAATATTGACTTTTCCGTCTCTCTTTAAATCCATGGCCGAAAATTTTCATATTTCATTCCGTTACAGCTTGGATGTTATCACAGATGAGAGATGCTTGGAAAGTAAAATTCATTCAGCTAGGAAACTTGAACAATTGAATGTATATACCGGATGACCCAGAAACAAGGTCTTTTTGTTATGACAAATAGGACATTCGAGATTACAAATCGGAACAGGTGAATTAATTAAAGAACCGCGTATAATAATGTTGTCTAGAGTTACCATCTTTTTACAGGTACAGGGTGCGCCACGTGGAATAAAATTGTAGGTTTTGAAAGTCGAATAGTAAGTGAAAAAATTCTATTCTGTGAAATTTCTCTATTCCTAATTTCACTGCATCATGCGATACATCGTAAAGAATATTTGAATATTATTTCATTTGAAAATATTCATCGATATGATTAGCACAGTGCCAACTGTATGTAAATTGTTCAATAAACATTTTTGGAAAGATTAGTAAAATGAACCATAATAAATAATGCAAAAAATGAAGAGGATATTAAAAAAGATAATATTTAAATATAAGAGTATTAAATAATAAAAGTGAAAATAAACCATTTGTTATGATTTATGTGATAAGAAATAAGAAGTTGTAAATGACAATATGTTAAGATGGCGCGAACAGCTGCTTAGTCAAAGCACAATAATCCAGCGACTTTCCATGTGAACAAATAATACCTTCTCTCAATTCTGTCCCTGTAAAGATAAAAAGGTTCTCGGTTTATAAATACGTTACCGATGAATGCATCCTTTGCACGGTACGAAGAATCCAGAAGAAAAAAAAAAAAGAGTTAAAAGTATCACGAATTCGATGATTGCTCGATGACTGCGTACAATTCGAGGAGAAAAAACATGAATAATTTACCTTTCACTGAACTGGAAAGTTTTGCAACAAAAATCTTTTTTCCTCGTTGTTTTACGCGCTCGTTTCAATTAACAAATCTAACGTCGGCTAATTAACCGATCACGCCGATAACGATAAACTTCAAAGTGACTGGTTCGCAAAACGGGGCATCTCGGGAACTAGTTTCTTCTCCGGCGAAAAGGAAAGGTTAAAACGTCTGGATGTTGCCTGTACAGTCAGGAGATTACGCGAACGAACGAATTAATTTTCGTTCATCGGTCACGGTAACATAACTCCAACACAACAGTAAAGTTTAAAAAGAGAAAAATAAAAAATTTTAATAATATTCGATCCTATCTTAATTAGAGATTCTGTACCAATAAATGGTTCTACGAACTCACATCATGCATGAAAATAAACGATTATACGTTTTGTTCGAAATACCATCGGTATCGTTATAAATTTCGTGCCTTACGAGCTTTCTACGAAAAGTATTTAAGGAACCGAACCGTGTAATCTGCTAAAAACGGCGTTAAGAAAATTATGATTCTCGGATTATTAAGTATGCCACATAATAAAATCTTGAAGAACGATAAATTGTGTAATTCTGGTTTCTTAGTGACCAGTAAGTAACATATTACGTATAATTACGCATTGTCTGACATTGGAAAATTATTGCACCAATAAACGGTACAGTAAAGTAGAGAATTTAAACTTTTTAATTCATTTAATAATTAATTTTTGGTACTGTTAATTTTTTTCCATGAAAAAAAAAAAATATGGCTTGCGTAACAGCTAATAGATGGCAGGATATAACTATTTAGAAATTAAATAATTACGTGTATAAAAAGCCATGTAGAGGCTGAAGGGATGTCTGGAAAATTGATGAGCGTAGTTCAATGTCCGTGGTACGTGTTCTCGCACTTATTAAACATTATGCTGCAATATCGTTTCCCCGTGGCGCATAATAAAAGTGTGGATACGCCAATCAGGGCAGAAAAGTTAAAAACGTCCCATGGATATTTTTAGAGGAGAGCAATGTAATCCATTCTCCAGGAACACGACAATCCATCAAATAAAAACGTTTATCTGTAAACACGTTCATATTGACAACTAAAACTAATACTTATGTTTGCAACTTAAAACTCAATAAACTGTGTCAATTGGTAATACTTGGAAACGCAAACGAACACAGTTTCCCAATATAATGACACTAAATTTACAATCAAATATTATGTTTTAATAATGTACATAGATTTAACCAACACTGACGGAAAAACAAATGGTATTTCACTTCTCCTATATTTCGAAGCCCACCATGAATAACCATTTACACATCATAAAGTGACATCATGCATACACATAACTTACATGTGAAAATATATCAATGAAAAGAGACAACTAAAAACAATAACTGTTCTATTCTATGGTTAAATATCACAATGCAACATTTTAGGCTGGTTTCCACTGTTTACACAAATATCCTAAATCCCGCAGGGCATTGAATGCATTAAGACATGGCTGAGCAAGCATCAACGAGCACAATGGATTCCCACGTTTATGGTGCTCGATCAAAGGTGAGGGGCCGCTTTTCGTATTCGTACAACGAAAGATGGCAGAACGACCGTCACGAAACGCTGAGTCGGTGCATGAACTATATCTGCAGATTCTTTGGTTTTAGGCGCAAATAAGAATCTTCTAGGAATCACTTGATGCAATGTTGTCTGCACTGCTTCGACAATTACAGGATCAAGTTTCTAAGCAACCGGGCAAACTGAACCAAACATTAAAAATGTGAGGAATATTATATATCTTATACAACAATATCAATATTATACAAGTTAAGCTTTTATGTATTATATTAACCTACGCAATGATTTAAGAAGATAACCATGAGGAGTGTATAGAATATTGTCCTACTCTGAATATAATCTACATCTTTTAAATCATATTCTTGTAGAATAATTACAGTAACTTAATAAATAAGTGTATTTGCATTGATTTATATGACTTAAGTCACCTACCAACAAATACATATGTATATATAGTATTCATAGTAGGTGGTACTTTTATGCATAAGCATTGTTCCGGTTTAAATTAAACAGGCAGATGTCGCCGAAAATGCAGTCCGGAAGAAGCGATCGGCCCGATACTAATTTATTAATTTATGCCGAAGACGCGCACACGCCCAAGCCCAGCAACGGTGACGTAACTGTAAACACAACACCAAAAGAGGGAGGGGGACAGACAGACAGACAGACAGAGAGAGAGAAAGAGAGAGAGAGAGAGAGAGAGAGAGAGAGAGAGAGAGAGAGAGAAGGAAATTGTTAGATGGAAGAAAGATTTATTAAACGATTGTCACATTTCCCTACTCTAATAACATCACACACAACCATTTAAATTTCCTAACCGGAAGTTGCGGCTGTTTGGAGACACTGTATCGAGATATCTCGAAATTGTCATACTCAACTGTCATAAACGCAAGAACAAATACAAACACAATTTTGTTTTCAAGAATAGTTTGTTTAGAAGTGATATAATAATTTTGATCTCTAATATTGTGCCACGTTAGAGTTTCTTACGTTTTACCAGCAATTCGAAGGTTTTTGATAATGACTCAGCACCGAATTCGGTGACGTGACGAAATCATTTGCACCGAACGAGCTGGCAATTTATAACAGCGTCACCAATTAAAGAACTATGCTACGCGATTAGGTCATATTATTAATAAAGCGTGCTAAAGTGCGGAATACATATAAATAAAAATTATTCATCGACGCTCTATACAGAATTATGGGTATTTTCATAACACACTTTTCAAGTAAATGACATTCCGTAAATATGTACGTATTAAACGTCGTTTTAAACATATAATCTAGACAACCGTAATTAAATATCCATTTTATAAATTTATCACGATAAAACGATACCGTGTACTTGTTACTTTTGAATGATTAGATTATGTGTCGGCTAACATTTCAGAGAACTTTGTTTTTCATTAAGAAAATACAACGAAATTCTAGAAACCAAGAGAACCACACGATATTCCACCGTCGTTTGAACGCATACCCTCAAAAATACTTTTGTCGCGTATTTATAAAACACGATGAACATTTTTTTGTAGGTCAACGATAGAACGGAAAAAATGTTCGATTTTACAGACACAGCAATGATATTTCGGTAATCAACGTTGGTACTTTGATACTTGACAGATTTCCCATGGAGAGCAGAATTAGGTCACTGATGGATAGGGCGTCTTGACAGGTGAACAAAACCATTCAGGGGACATCGTGTAGCGGAAATTAAAGCGCTATAAATGAACGTTTAACCCGAAAGTGCAAAGACTTTATTTCGGAAAGAAAACCAAGGATAAACCAGCAAACTAATTCGTCGAAATGGACGTTAAATTATGCGAAAAAGTTATGAGCACTCGTACAGATACGGTAAAACTAAGAAAACTAGTTTATTTAACCGCACAGTGAGTTCGTCGCTAGAATCGATGCCGCATTCGACCAAAGACACCGGAAGAAACAAAACGAATGAACCATGAAACGAATGACGAACGATCTTTCGTATTGTTAAAACACGAATGCATTTCGAATGCTGTCAGAAATACTGATACCGAAATACCGTGCCATAATTTAAAAGCAGGGAGAAATCGGGGAAGCTAAAGCGGCACACGCCATTTTTATCTGTAGAGTCTTGGCCGTCACGAGACAGCCGATTGTAAAACTGGACCGCTTTCGTATTTTCGAACAGAAACCAGAGAGAATCGTGCACTTACCTTCCGGTGAGGATACCCTGTGACACGGTTTTATCCCAGTACTCGCATAAAAACCAGCCGATGTACACCAAAAACCACCGATAACGATCCACACAATTCCCATCCACACACTCGACCAGCGCGCAACTGACTGAGCGCATACAGCGTCGACCTACGCCAGCGTAGCTAGTCCCGGTTCTGATCCACCAATAAAAAAACGCGCGTGGCATTATGAATTTCCGCAGCAACTGATGTATAATTCCATGTAAAACGGTATTTTTGAAAATTATTAAAAAGACGTCTTTAATGGTTGTCTATGAAAAAATTTGCCGCAATATAAATATTACAGACCATGAAAATTCGTGAAATATAGATTGTACTGCAGTACTTAAAAACATTGGTCACTATGTGTAAACTAAGTAAATTGTTGCTTATTTTGTGCATATATACTATTACATAGTTTATTACGAGTTTCAGTAATTTTTCAATCTACTGTCACACAACATGAAAAATATAGTAAGATTAATTTAATATTCCTTGAATATTTTTCACCCTAGAATTTTAATTGAAAGGATACTAAGAAAATTATTGATAAAAGTCTGTATTGTTGTCGTCTAGATTACATACATTTTAATCAAGATTTATTGAAACTATGATGTAGCTCTTCGTATTTTTTACAAGTACATAGGTAATAATTTCTTAACCCACAATACCAATGCGATTTTTTCGTACAAATTCTACAAATTAATAGAAAAAGGTGGCTCATTTATCTTTTTATTAAACGAACTTAAATGATTAAAGCGTACGCGTTTACAACTATACTTGTGTCAGTACCGTATCTGCCTTGTAACAAGCGGCGTAGGAATACAAGATAGCTTATGACATCACTAGTCCCGTTTACACATATTCTGGACCGGGCACGCCCCATCCTTTCCGTTACACGTTATTACGAACATTTAAAAAGGAACTGTTTAATTATAAGAAAAATTTTATCGAATCATTCGAAAAAAACAAATACGAAGACATATTCGATATAAAACATGGAGATAAGCAAATACTGTGTGGTTACACACGTTTATTTTTGCACAGCGATACATCGCTTCATTAACGCTCGATATTACCATAAAAATCTTTTTATTCTGCATCCTTCTTAAATGTTTAAAATTGAAAAATTGAAAAATAAAATATTTGTTAGCGAAATTTGTTTTAAAAACAAAAATAATAAAGATACATGTGTATATATTTATATACAAAAAGTAACGTAATTAAACAGGCTTTTTATATATTCTTTTTAGAGAATAAAAGTATTGAATGGTATTATAATGAAAACAAGCTTAAAAGTAAATCACAGCAAATACAAATAGAAAGACAAATGGAAAATGTGCACATTTATATACATGTCATGAGTAGAAGTACATCACAGTGTACATTTTACATAGCTTAATAATTAACATAAATACAATTAAATCACATCCGATTTATTCTTTACGGTCTCGACATGAATAATGTACAAGGTCGCCATTTGGATATCTTGCAAATGCACTGAAAGTAATTCGTATTATTTATTTGTTAATATTACTTGACATATGTAAATACAAACCTTTGATTTCCGAATCTTTTTTTGCAAACTGAACATGTATTCAATTCCGTCATAAGAGCACTTTGTGATTCGTAATGCATACGTTGCTCTTTTACTTGCAATTGTTCAGCATGAAGTAAACCTTTCAAGACTTGTATCCTCCTTCTAGCGTTCAAATTCTTTTGTAAACCCACTTCCAAGAAGTGCTTTATTCTACCTATAGGAACTGTATCTGGTAGAACCTCTAATGCCTTTAACGGATTTATCTTCGAAGCGTGTTTCTCGAGTAGCTCAAGCGCCATTTCCAAATCGGGCTGTAGTGTTTGTTGGGCTTCTGGGCTACATACTAAACAAACATTACTTTAAATGTACGCCGACCATCGTTATTTTAAAATGAGCGTAACATTTTACCTGTCATCAAAATCTCTTCACTGTCGGGTTTTAACAGCTGATTGATAAGCAATGAATAGACTTCGTCAGCTCTGTCTGTTTGTTTTTCTTTATCTGCAGTTTCTAGATCTTAAGATAATAACAAAAAATAGATGCATATATTTGTAAACGAATATTTTCGATGGTAAAATCAACACATACTTTGATACCTAGTGTACACTTTATCACAATACTGAGTCGCCTTTTCTATATCATTGAGAAGATTAATGTATATCGATAACACTTGTTGGTGGCGTCCAAGCCGTCCGAGAATAATCGCACGTTCCTCGAACAAATTATCAAACGGAAAATGTACCAATATCGTTTCCGGAGTATAGTGTGCAGATTTCTCCAAAAACTGATATAGCTTTTGCCTAAGATGCTGGGCAGTTTCTTGTTCAGTTGGTGTTGCATTCTTACTCATACCCGCTAAACATTTTTCTTTGTATTGATGTATTAAAACATTATGATATAACGGATTAGTATCTCTCCAAACATGTACTACATATTCTAAATATGTTATAACCAAATCTTTATGACAACGGAGAAGATAATCCAATACCTTTGGTCTCGGTAGTTGTTCAACTTCCTGCAATTATAAATGTAATTTACAAAAAATTCATAAAACTTTAAATAATATATATTACCTGAATATCTTCCATAAAAATCCTGAGTCCCTGTTCTGGATCTTCATTCAACACCCAACCAGAAAACTTTAAAATTAAATCCATATGATCTTTACCAAGATGCTGCAGATATTGTATTGTTCTTGCAGTACCCTTAAGACTCAAATCGTTTCCTTTCGCGTGCTTTTCAAGAAGTTCTAAAGCTTTTCTATGTTGTCCTTTAGTCTCATATAATATAATAAGTTCCGAATATTTTTGATGCATTAATAAAGTTTTTTCAGCTTCTGCTAAGTGACAGTGGTTTAATCTAAGTAATGGTGCTACTAATGCATCTGTAGTCTGAAAATAAATTACCAAAATAGATCAAATAATAATTATTTATCGTCGCTATACATTATTACCTGTAAATAACATTTTAACAAAGTTGTATCTATAATTTTTAAAAGCTGCTCAGTAGCTACTGCTGTCATATTTTTTTCTCCCTCCACCACAGATTTTTCTTTAGCATTATCTTTATCCTTTGGTTTTGTATCACTTATTAACTTATGCCTAACTGCAGTGAGGAAACCTATTAATGCACGCAAACCTTTTTCTAAATCATGATCTTGAAGTTTTGGCAAAGTTGGATCTGTGACTTCAGAAGTATTGCTTGATGATGTAACTAAATCAGGGAATAATATAATCACTTCATATGGATCTGTTCCTATTTTTAAAAATACATCCATTGCTTCTTGAAATCTTTTATTACGAAAGAGATGATGAGCATATAATGTTTGAATTCTATATATTTGTTTCGTCTTCTCTTTCTCAGTTACGTGCAATAAACTCTGAAAATGATGATGAACCATATTTTAAAGTCTCCATTATTATCGTAAATTATTTATAATTACAATTAAATGAACCAAGCAACTAAAAACGTTATACACATACAGTTAGTTTCTGTGCCAGCTGAAACTGGGTTTGTTCAAGTAATGTTCTAATTTGGAGCGTTATATCAACTGCCTTCACACACCAGATATGACTAATTGATGCTACAAAAACTTTTCCCTGTTTACATCTACATATAAGTCTAGCTTTGTTCAAACCCTGTATTGTTTGAATGTGTAAACAGCCCTCTATAGTATATACTTCCAATCTGTCATGTACAATTCCAAGTAGATAAGGGTCATCCCAAGCTGAAATAATTCAATCTATATGACACTAAAATAATTAGAAAAAGGATACAACAGTTCAGTATTTTCTAATTACACATATTTTATACCTATTGCACTTGGTGTGTCAGACCACTTAACTGGATTGTGTTGAATCAATTCCCCCTTTGTATCCATAATAAATGATTGAGAATCTTTTCCTAATACAAAGGAATTATCACACAATTTTGTTACACTTGGTTCAAGAGATTTTCCAGTTGGAAATAATTCTTTAGCTTTTCCATTTAACTCCAAAATTGTATATGACAAGCCACGAAATCCCAAAACTAATGATTCACCACACCTTTATTATAATTAAGATACATTCTATCATTCTATAAAAATAAGTAATTTATTTTGTATTGCATACACAATACATACCAGGCTAATTCACGTGGTATGTCTGGCACAGTCAATTCACAATCCTTGATTTCCTTCAAGTTTTCTCCTTTCCAGGAATAAATTTGTAACTTACGTTTCACAGCAACACATAGGCATATATCTGTGTTTTTTTCTCCAGTTAAATTTTGACTTTTTAAAGTAAATATTGTGGCACCACGGGTTTTATTTAAGGTAGAAACTATTGGAAAGCTTTGAGAACCTGCATCAAGTATATATACTATGTTGTCTGCAAAAGGATATAATGAACAAGATATTCTATGTGTGATTTATAAAATCAAGATAAAAATACCTGCTAGAATTATGAGTAAATTATATTCTGGTACAACATCAATTTGAATGATACGCTTTCTAAAGAATCTTCTACTATAACGTAGCAATTCTAATTTGTGATTATCATCTAACACAGGAGGAATGTTATACAAAAGTATTTGACCTTCCCTTGTTCCAATCAGTAAATTATCATCTGAAACACTTTACTGTTATTTTCTATACCTACATATTTGCATGTAAAACTATTAAATTAAATTATCTTAAATAATTTAAAATACATTTTTTAAAGGGACGATAAACAAATAATCTCGAATTTTGAAATAAAATATTTGCATGCAAAATCGTGTATATAGAATTAAAAATTTCTAATCTAAAGGTTATATGTCACTTACCATACGCAGCTATCGATTCTATTAGGACAGAAATATTTAATATTGATGTTTCTAAGTAAGCGTTGTGCATTTTGACGTTTTAAAAAGAAAATGTTTCTAATTATTTCTTTACAAGTTCCGATTTTGTAAAAGCACTTTTCTCAGTACCAATAGTCGCCCACAATTGCCATTCCCGTATGTTTGACAACAGTTTGAACTATGCTAAAACGAACCAAAAGAGTATTGTACTAATTATATATCAGAATACGAACATTTACAATACACTTTTTACGTTTTCTTTTTTTATTTTTATAAAGAGATTTTTATTTTCTAATCAACAGTATATAAGCAACTACTACCCTAATTTTATTCGAAAATTGTATAACATACATGTTAGAATTTTTCACTGGAAAGATACTTATTATTCTTAGGTTACATACCTATGTACAAAGAAGCATAAAAGTAAAGTTAATTATA